CTCACATTGAGGACCTATCCACGTCATCATTTACCCAGAATGCTTTGTATGTAAATAAAATGGCTCCGTCCGTGTAATGTATTTTTAACTTTTAGTTAAAAAATTTACAAAACTAAACAGCCTACAGAATTTTTACAGTCTTTATTTTACAGTTAAAATACAACTAATCAGGGATCCCTTTAAAGTACCCATGATTCTTCCACTGTCAGTAAAATAAAGGCACTGATACATCTTCTACTCTTCTARAATTGTGGTTAAATTTGGATGACAAATCTAGAAATCTCAACTGTTGGATCTGTGTGACTTTCTGCCTTAAGATTGCCACTCCCTGTCCATTCTGAGGAGGACCAGCTCTTCCAGCCTGAACCCCGTGAAGCACTACCGCATCTCCCACCTGGAAAACTCCTGGGTCTACATATCTCCAGGACTCACGTTCCCCTCGCTCCGTCACCTGGTGGAACACTACTCAGGTTTGTGCCGAGCTCAGAACACTGTCAGCCCTCTCGCCAGGCCTCTCGGTTAACGCCACGCCGCACCTCCTCCMACAGACTCTGCCGACGGGCTGTGCTGTCGGCTGACGGAGCCTTGCATCATCCGGGGTCTGGACGGTTCCTGTGAGGCTCGGCCTGTTCCCATAGCCATCAGGAGACCTACTATCAACTGGAAGGACATCAGCAGGTTAGAGGAAGGGCCACAAGGCATCTCCCTTGTTGCTGCTTTACATGTGACTATCTTTTATTTTCAGTTTTTTGTTGACGGTGTTTCAGAAAACTTTGATTCAAACCAACAGATTTGGAACTGARTAAACTGAGGAGAGAAGGGCACAAACAAAATGTTCAGATAAGATCGTGGTTGAGCAGTGGTGTRCAGAGAGCAAGATTACTTTGTTTCAAACTATCTGTTTGTGTTTCTGCAACAGTTTATGAACTCTTTAAACTATTTAACCATATCTGAAATAGTAACATGTTTTCTAGCTCGTAAGATAAAAACAAACTGATTAAAAACCCAAATCTATTTTTTGTTTGTCCCCAAAGGTCAGTGATCCTCAAGAGGAAGAGGACGGAGTCAGACAACTCTCTGGTGAGCGAGGGTCTGAGGGAGGCCATCAGCTCCTACCTCCAGATGACGGAGTGCAAAGATCACTTCTGGGACACGTGAGCAAAGCGTTTGGATCACTTTGAAAGACTGAAATCAGGCAGAGCGTGAAATACTGTCCCGTCACAGCTGCAGCTTGAGCGAGCCACCGGARGACGTCTCGCAGGCCCAAATGTCTTTTTGTGGACGTTCCTGGAGTAGGAGTGAGACTGAGACACTACATCAGACGGCTGATTGTTTTAATGAAAGAAGCACAGGGGGGAGGTGTGAGCTGCAAATACAAAAAAAGACTGTTTCTTTTTATTTATACATTATTGTAAAAACACAGATAATGTAATATTGTTTGTACAGAACAGAAAAATGATTGTTATTGTGATTATATTATTGGAATCCAATTTAAGTTGTACGCTGCATAATAAAAGTACATCATACACAAACTCAGTTTAATACAGGCCTGTGTTTTGTCACGTTCTTGTCTGATGTTCTGTCTGATGTAGGATTCTGTTGTTCAAAAYCACTTATTTTCTTTACCTGGTTTTCTCGGGGAGCTGATGTCCTCCAGCGGTCACTGTGTGAGAGACAGAGACATGGCAGTGACCCTGGACAGGTCACAAACCACTGGAAGCACAAATTGTTTTAAATCCCATATAAATGTTTCTGCACAGGTGATGTTTTATTTCAGATGTGTAAGCTGTCAATGCTGTAGGCACGAATGCACACCCATATCATCAGAGAGGCAGGGTTTTAAACTGTGTGCTGATAACAGGCTGGATGGCCTCTTCCCTCTTAAATATGCAAAGCATTTCCAAAGTTTTCCTAATCTGGTTTCTAAAAAGAGTTTCAAATTTTAATTTGTCTGACTCCAGAACAGTTTTTTCCCTTTTTTTTGCCTTTGTCCATAATAGCATTTTAAATTAGCTCTGGCCCTAAGAAGACAGTGGCAATTTTTAGTTTGTTTAAAGACTGTGTTCACTTTTGGCTTTTTTATTATAAAATTTTATTTTTTAATCATTATTTATATTTTTTTTTTTTTTTGCCTTTGTCCATAATAACATTTTAAATTAGCTCTGGCCCTAAGAAGACAGTGGCAATTTTTAGTTTGTTTTAAGACTGTGTTCACTTTTGGCTTTTTTATTATAAAATTTTATTTTTTTTAATCATTATTTATATTTTTATTTTTGTGTGAAATAGTTTTGAGCTGCATTTGAGGATGGGACAAGGATGATTTGTAGAAGTGTTCCTGAGTTCATGCAGAGATGTCCAAAACAGAATCAGACCTGTTTATTGCAGCGATGGGCCTGAAGATCAAGAACATCCAGCATTGACTTTCAGACTCGTTCTTTGAGCTCTGAGATTTTTATATTTCATTAAATATTTTGATTTAAAGAACTGCAGGTGATGGGATACTTAACATATTCTCAAATTTGCACAGAATAACATCGTTATGAAATTGTTCAACTATTTTGAACAGCTTTTAGCAGAACCTGCCCATTTTTTTTACTCAGAGATTCAACACCTGTAAAATGGTATTTTTATACCCAGTTCTCTTACTGACCTGTTGCCATTTAAGCTAGTTCTTTAAACAACAACAACAACTTATTCTTTTAATGGTATGATTTTAAAGTTTAAATGTTTGGTTTTACAATTGTGAATAAAATGTTTTGAAATTAGCTAAAAATTTTATTCTTTTTTTTTTCTTAACAGTCACTATTTCTGTTTTTTTATTGGGATTGTATAAATTATTACTTTAAAGCTATAACTATTACTATATCAGTTATAAGAGTGCTGTAAGAGTTTTCTTTTAAAGTGTCAGTACTGCTTTCCGAAAAGAACTGATTATTTACAAAAGTTTCAAATTTAAAATAAAACAAACAAGCAGCATGAAATAACATGCAGTTCCGCCTCTCTGCCAGCAGGGGGCACTAAATCTCCCTCAGCTGCGTATCAAAGTCTACTCTTTCCTGCCTCAACAGTTCAGGAAGAAGAAATAATGGCGACGTTTGTGAAGTCCGAGTTTATTTATACTGGAAGAAAACGAAGAAACTCCAACAGCAATATTGTCACAAAGTTGACGACCAGTAAAATTACTGGCAAGGGTTTCAGTCGAGGAACACAGGTAAGAGAATTTACTCCTGTTTTGACTGCTAAAACGCCCGAAAGTTGGACGACTGAAAGCAGCCAGGGACTTGCGCTTGGAATCCAGCCTGAAAACGAAGAGGCTGTGTTGGAAATGTAACCGAAGATCCGCTCGCCCTATCAAATTATTCTTATGGAGTGTTTCCGACCCACGTATTTGTTGCAAATAGTTGACTAAGAATAATATTTATTCGCTGTCAGTCGTGACAGCGAATGCACTGAAACCTCCGGCTCAACTGGATCTTTTGTTGTTAGCTCCTCGTTAGCTTAGCAAGAATGCCCAGTTAGTAAGGTGCTTATACGTTTAGGTTAAACTGTTCAGACTTTGTTCTTCTACGGTCGTATAAGTGGGAGTCAGACTTCCCAAACAGCTCGGATTATAAGCTCGAAAATGCTTAAAACTCTTAACAAATCGTTGTAACATTTTGCTAATGTTAGCATACGGAGCTAAAGCAGCTGAGCTCTGGYGATGACGTAATGACGCACGAACCACCATCACTATCGTTTCCATAAAAGGGTGCGTCAAAGCAGATGTTTAGGCAGGTTAAGTTTATTTTTGCTGCTTTTTTGATTATTTTTTTACAGTAATTGTTATTTTCTGATTATTTTTGTTCAGCTGGATTGCACAGAACTTCAAATGCCACAAGTGTTTAGATACACTGGCTTTTTTTAGGTACTGTGCCAATTAACTTTAATTTATTTTCAGAGGGTTAGAGGTTACAATGTGCTTTTGATTCCTCTGCTACTGTGATGCATACACAAAATATTATTTGTTCTCAGTGACTTGTTTATGCTTTGAAAGATGACTTGTAGTAAAGTTTCTGGTATTATTGTTATAACTGTCACTCTTTTTTTTTTCAAATGAATAAAATAGGGTCACAATAAAATAATAGATGTGTTTAGGAAATGCTATCGTTTCATAATGTGAGATTAAGTTTGACCAAACTGTCATACAAAGGCTGCACTGATTGTTTTACAGAATCTGTGAGGCCACACAATCATGTCGTCAGGCACTGCTGTTTCAAATCAAGTTAATATTTAATAATAATATTAATATTTACTGAACATCTGGACTTTAAAGAGTGTTTTTGGTGAGCTGGTTTCTGTAAAACACCAAATTTCAACAGTTCCAAAGTTCATCACAAACTTTTATGCACATAAACACTGATAAGTAACGAGTGTTAAACTATGTTGCATCTTATTTGCAGTAAGTTTGAGTTAATAGGACAGATTATTTATCTTAGATAGTTATGGTTTGAGATATTGCATGAAAGTTATTATTTATTTATTTATTTATCAATCAGTTTTCTGCTGTATAAACCGAGCTGTTTATCTCATGCTGTATTTTAAAAGAAAAATACTTATAAATGTATTTCTTGACCATTCTGTCCCTATTGAAAGTTGTGTGACACAGTTGTGGGAATTTGCCATTACCTGAACTTTTTCCCCACGTTAGTTCTGAATTTCATTCCGCATTTTACTGATTATTGTTCTTTGTAATTTGCCGTTAAACTCTTAAGTGAAATATTTGAATAATGTAAAAATAAAATTTAGAAATATTACAGCAAAAATATTTTTGCAGCAAATGTTTATGCCTTTTTCAATATGCGTGTTGTACTGGTTAAAGTTGCTTTTTGTGCGTGCTGCAGCTCCCAGGAGGCCTGCTGCTGGAGCGAGATAAACGTGCCAAGTGGCATGGCATCCCCGTTTTACTTCAGAAGCTGTACGAGAGCAGCCATCCCAACAGTGACCTCTCCCACGCTCACAGCTTTCTCAAGGCACGCAGAGGTTTTTCAATGGATACTTGTCGCTGTAGCTTCTCTGTGGAGTATGTTTGGTTTAATGTGGACCGTTTTCTTTGTTAGGTATTATCGTCACAGCTCTCCATGGAGGCCATGTCCTTCGTCACAGAAGACAGGAAGACCGCTCAGGAATCCACTTTCCCCAACACATACACCTTTGACCTTTTTGGTGGAGTTGATGTAAGTCACAGGGTCTGATGCTTGTAATGTTTACTGTTGTTGTTGCACTTTGATCACAATGAGACGCGTTAACTTTAAGACTCGGCTGTTCTGTAAAGACCATGATAACTTGTTTTGTAGCTGCTGGTGGAAATCCTGATGAGACCCACACTAACTATGCAGAAGAAAATGCCTAAAAGTGAGTAGGACAGACATTTTAAAAGTGCCTTTGTCTGCAAGTGAAAATATCTTTCATTAAAGACAGTTTGTCTAATTTTCCTGATGCTCATCCTGACATGTGCTCCTGTTACAGCAGTGAACGATGACTTGGTGAAAGACTGCCTTAGTGTTCTGTACAATTGTTGTATATGTGTAAGTATCTGTATATGTGTGTATTATTTTAAAGCATGTTTCTCTCACAGCTTATTAATGCAGGTATTAGGATGTAAAACAAAGAGTTTTTTTTTTTTCACTCTGCAGACTGAGGGGGTGACAAAGAGCCTGGCAGCGAGGGATGACTTTGTTTTGTTTCTCTTCACCCTGATGACAAACAAGAAGACCTTCCTGCAGACCGCCACTCTTATTGAAGATATTCTAGGAGTTAAAAAGGTCAGTGGTGTGCTTAAGGATTTAAAGAATGACCCTGAAAACTTTAAAACTTTTAAGTTTTGCAACAGTTGGAATGAAGAAATTTAAACGCAACTCTTTTTTGTTTAGGCTAAAAGAAAGAACACATGAGACACACACCAATTCTTTTTCTGCTTTAACCTTACTTACAATGATCAGGAAGTATAAAATACAATACTGCAGCTAACACTCAATTAATCAGGTACAAAATTTCCTTCAGGAAAGTTGATGACCTTTGGTAACAAATGTCAAAAGATTTTATGCATGCATCAGCTGTCTTTATCTGTGTGCAGACACATTAATAATGTGCTTCTAAAGTTCTGTTTTGGTCAGGTTTATGTTTTAAAGGGCCAATATTATGTGTTTCTCAGGCATAYATTTAAATACTATACCATAATAAAGTATCTATGTCACCTTTAGTTGTTATTAAAAGGCTTTTTTATGTTTAAATAGAAAATAAACTTATYTTCTCATCACTTCCTCTTCTAAACGCCTTGAAATTGGCCTCTGTCTCTTTAAGAACCTCCTTCTGTTTCTGTCTCACCCATTTCAGTGTGCGGGGTTGGCTGCTATGATGCAGTTTACTTGGCATCTGAAAATACATTTCCTCAAAGGCATTTTGAATCTGAAAAGAGYGTCACTGAGTGAGAAATAGTGTCAAGAGCTCAGCAGACAGTTTCACTTTCAGTTTCACCCGTTGTTTGAGAGCCTGCAGGAGTCATGGGTGGGGTATGTGGGGAGGGGGTGTGCTCTGCCATGAGGAAGTTAGGCTCAAAGACACATGCCAGGGGCGTTTCTGGTCCCCACCTGTCGTTTTGCTCCTCAGCATGGCTTCATAAAAACGCTGCAGGATTTTTCAAACATGCATGAATGAGTCAAAGCACGACTTTGGGCATGTTTTTTATGAGAGTGTAACATTATAGCATGATATAAAACTCAAAGTTGATTTTATACGATATTGCCCGTATTAATCCCCATATTATTTTGTTTTTACTTTGGCTCCTTGTGTTTAAACATTTTACCATTTTATTTGAAAATTCATTAAGAGTTTTGCTTCTGTTTTGCATTTTTATTGCAGTTGTCTCTATTTTTTCTGGTTTTAACTTGCATAATTTAATTCAGCCATGCACTAATAATAGTATTAGTAATAATAGTACTAGTAACAATAGGTACAGTAATAACTGTAGCTCAGGTCTTTGTAGACGATCTGAAGAACACTAGTTTTAGTGTTCTCCTTGAAGACTGTAAATACTTAGATGATCTATATGGATACACAAGCATTTAAAAATATCTTTAATATCTGCATGATCAGACATGTTTGCTAAATTAATTCTACAAAACCTAAAGAAATATAAACTTTTCTGTAGTAATTTTGGTTGCTTTTTATTTAATTTGTTAGGATTATTATGATTGAGAGTCTACACCAGCATGTAGTTTATTATAGGTTTATTAAAATAATTTTGTTATCTGTGTGTCATCTTGTTCTTTAATTATTAGTTTGTAATAAATGTGTTGAAGCAGGTAAAATATAGGTTAGTTTATCAAGTTAATGTAGCTTTGTGAGATTAAGTACAGTCATCTGGTAACATGAAACAAAACAATTATAATATTATAGCTCCTTATTTAATCTAAACCCCATGGTATTAATAAAGTTATTAATTAAAGTGTGAATGTCTGTGTTTTGTTTGCATTTAATAACTTTACATCTGTTTTGTCTTTAAGGAGATGATCCAGTTAGACGGGATCCCCGACCTGTCAGACCTGGTCCAGAGCTTTGACCAGCAGCAGCTGGCCAACTTCTGTCGCATCCTGTCCGTCACCATTTCAGAACCTGACATAGGAAATGATGACAAGCACACTTTATTGGCCAAAAATGTACAGCAGAAGCGCAACGCCAGTCCATCTCGCGCTGAGGTCAACCAGGGTAGGTGGTCTTTCCTGCGCTCAAAAAGAAAAGGTGTTTTGTGCCACTTCACTTCATGGATCCCTCCTCTTACAGTAACTCTCCTGAACATCCCTGAATTCATCGAGCGTCTGTGTAAACTGGCCACCAGGAAGGTGTCAGAGGCCACYGGGGCTAATTTCCTGCAGGAGCTGGAGGACTGGTACACCTGGCTGGACAACGCTCTGGTTCTTGATGCTCTCATGCAGATGGCCACAGAGGAGGCTGAGCAGAGCAACACAGGTGMGTCATTGTGTTAATCTCATGAGTGTACTGTGTAGTCTTTGTTTATTTATGTGTTTTAATGTTTAGAGTCATCAGATGAGAGTTCTCTGGCCACCAGCCCCCTGAGACATCGACTGCCTCAGTCCATGAAGATTGTCCATGAGATCATGTATAAAGTGGAAGTGCTTTACGTTCTCTGTGTCCTTCTAATGGGCCGACAGAGAAATCAGGTACTTTTTGTTTTGTTTTTGTTTAGATGTGAGCACATGTTGTGCTTCAGCAAGACTGGATTTTGTTTCTTGTTTTTTTTCTTGTAGGTCCACAAGATGCTGGCTGAGTTCCGCCTCATCCCGGGTCTCAATAACCTGTTTGACAAACTCATCTGGAGGAAATACACGGCCTCCAATCACGTGGTGCACGGCCAGAATGAAAACTGCGACTGTAGTCCAGTATGAGCCGTTTAAATAGAAATCATTTTCAAGAAATAAAAAAAAGAAACCCTATGAAAATAATCACTGTTTCTTTTAATTATACAGGAAATATCCTTTAAAATCCAGTTTTTGAGACTACTTCAGAGCTTCAGTGATCACCACGAGTAGGTGCCCCTGCATTCACTCACTTCCTGTTTAGCTTCAGTCTTCTTGTCTTATTAAATGCCGTCCGTCTTCCAGGAACAAGTACCTGCTCCTCAACAACCAGGAGCTGAACGAGCTGAGTGCCATATCCATGAAGGCCAACATCCCGGAGGTGGAAGCTCTGGTCAACACAGACAGAAGCTTAGTTTGTGAYGGTAAGAAGGGTCTCCTCACGCGTCTCCTCACTGTGATGAAGAGGGAGCCTCACGACTCATCCTTCAGGTTGGTATCAAAACCAGTGTCGTCGTTATTTATTATAAACTTTTTCTTCTAAGAGTTGAAACATCCTAACTGATTCTGTGTTTTTATATTTATTCATCCAGGTTCTGGCAGGCGAGAGCGGTGGAAAGTTTTCTCAGAGGAGCAACATCTTATGCAGATCAGATGTTCCTTCTAAAGAGGGGGCTGTTAGAGGTACAGCTACAGCAGACAGTCCAGATTCTGTGCATTTTTTTTAGATCTTCAGCTAATAAATGGCTTTTTCTTCCCTGCGTGGACAGCACATCCTGTTCTGTATCATAGACAGTGGTTGTACGTCTCGAGATGTCCTTCAGAGCTACTTCGACCTGCTCGGAGAACTCATGAAGTTCAACATCGACGCCTTCAAAAGATTCAACAAATACGTCAACACTCCAGAGAAGGTATGGTTCTGGACCTTTTCAAAATAAAACATGAAAACTGTGGAACAATCTCCCTCATGACATCAGGCTGGCCTGTTCTTATTTGTCCTAACTTTTAAATTCATAATTTTATTGCTTTATTTTTGGATGTTTTATCTGCTCTTACARCCTTTTACTTTAGATTTATCTCCTTGTAATTGTTCAGCACTTTGTTTTGAAAGTGCTTTATACAGGGTTCCTATGGGTCCTTGAAAGTTTGTGAATTTGAAAAAATGATTTCAAGGCCCTGGAAAGTTTGTGAAAACAGCCAAAAGTTACACTTGTCCTTGAAAGTCCTTGAATGTTTTTTGGGGATTGAAATTCTCTATTTACATGACGGATTTTCATCATCTTTTAAAAAAAATAAAATAAAAAAAAACTTACATTTGTTGCGGTGGATAACTCAGGATTACAGTAAACTGACGTCATTGTTTCTGAATCAACAACTTCTATGTTCAGTTTTTCATTGAATTTACATAAAATTAAACCTGTTTATTGGGAACAATCGGTAATAACAGTAGCAAATGGATTTCAAGGCCCTGGAAAGTTTGTGAAAACAGCCAAAAGTTACACTTGTCCTTGAAAGTTTTTTGGGGGATTGAAATTCTCTATTCACA